ATGAGGTTAAAGAGTAGGTACACAGCTGAAGGTTAAACACACTCAGTCTGTATTTTGGCCTCATAATTATTAGGCCAAGACTTCAGTGTTCAGTGTCTTCATTAAATACTGAACTATGTTTTTTGTTGTGTTTCTGGCTTTTATAACTGCTGCAGATTTTCTGGAAATGCTCTAAAATGAAACTTCCTTTTAGCATCTCCCAGTCCTTCTCTGTCTTGTTTCTGTAAGTTAATCATCAAAGTTGAATCTTTGCATCTGCTGTTGTTCTCCTGACGGTTGTGTAAACACAAGCAGACTGTATATTTTCTGCTGAACATAAAGCAGCAAATTGTAATAAATAGAAACTAGTTATTTAAAATTGTGGGCCCTGTGAGAAACTGACAGTATTTTACACACCATGAGAGCAGAGTTAGCAGGTTCAGATAATTCAGAATTACTTTTATTAATTTAATAGTATTAATTTAGCAAATACTTTGGCTTTGTTTTTCAAGGTTTTGAAAAGTTAATGAAGCATGAAATAGTAGGTACAATTGCAGAGTAGCAGAGCTGTGAGAGAAATGTTAAATCAGCTGATCTAAATAGAAATGAAACAAAAAAAAAATTGAAAATCATTCCCACAGCTTGTTTGGGGGGAGATTAAAACAAGAGTTCTTCTGTTTGGCTCACAACATGAGCATGTACTGAACAAGCATCTTTGGATCTTTGAGCTTAAGAGTCTGAACCAAAACTGGTTCACCTTTAATTGTTCCTGAGTGAATTTGAGTCTGCGATTAGAGCTACTGAAGTTTTATCAGTGAGTAAACAACCATTTTTATTTATTTTTTTTACCACATAATGGATGATTTCAGTTCCATTTACATCAGTTCATTAATGCAGCTTCAATTCCCCAATAGAAATTTTAAAAAGTATAATCTGTAGAAAGACATAATCAGTTCAATCCAATCATGCAAACAGATTCAAAACTTAGAATTTAATCTTAGTTATAAAATATTTTCCTCTTGATAAAATATTTTATTTCTTAGGAATCCCAGCTGACTGCTTTGAGTCAGTGACTTTGCAGCAGTCGCTCTTCCTGAATAAGTATTTAGCGAAAGCAGAGAATCAATTGCAATTTGTTGTTTCCACCTCAGCAGTCCTTAGTACTGAGTAAGGATGTCATAGATAGGTGAATAGATCAATAAACAGTACAAAAACTGTTTGTGGTACAATACTTGACAGCAGATGTTGTAAAGTTTATAAGAATACATTTAAAATGCAGGTGAGTTTGAAAAAAAAAAAAAAGACATCCAGCAAAAGCATATTGAAAATGTGTATTCCTTCAGCAGAAACAGCAATTATGGTGAATATATTGTTCTCCTTTACTCATATTCAGCTGCAGTGATACGATTTGTAAAACCTCCCTCCTGTTTTCTTGAGTTAACTTAAAAGAATTCCCAGAAAAAGTTTTACATTTCAATTTACGGGGCACATCTGCTTCCTAAGCTCCGATTTAGGCCTATTAGCTCTGAATCATTGGTTTATCTTTATGTGGTGGAGTTCAAACACCTTTTTTTTGTTCAAACATCTTATTTTGTTACTGATTACATCCACAGGAGGAGTCTAAACTCATTGATGCTGATAGAAAACAAGAGGTTTTCTTTGCGAATGCTGGAGAGGATCAGTTCTCACACTGAAACGCTGCAGATCTTGCCCTGCTCCACGCAACACGTGTTTTTCATTTAACAGGCACAGCTCTGTTTGTGTTTTTGCTTCTGACCTCATACTGGTCAATTCTACTTAAATAATCAGAATTAGTTAGACTGTTTAAAGGTTTTTCCATCTTTACGTCTGAAAGAGTTGAAGCTTCATTCATTTACTGACCATGAATGAAGGAAGGTTTTTTTTCCAGCGTCCTGGAAAAAACAATCACACCTCTTAATGTTTTCCACATTTTGTGACACTACAGCTACAAATTTCAGCTGAATTTTAGTAGATGGTTTTGTAACAGACCAACACAAAGCTACTAATTGGTTATGAAATTGGCCAATATTCTGCATAATTTCAAAGGTGTAATAGCACAGGCGCGCATTAATCTGGTCTCTTAGGAAGAAGTCCTAAGTTATCAGAAGTCCCTTTCAAAAACATACAATATAAAAGTTTAGATCAGACCAAAGTCCAGACCTAGTGCTACGCTAAAATCAGTTTCAAAACTTAAAAATTATGTCAAAAACAAAGAGTAGAGACAAATATCAGCAAGCAAAGCTGGTTATACCCAATAAGCAGCAGAGGATTTTGAATACTTTTCAGATTAGCATGTTTTCTATTAGCAAGTCTGAAAATCTGAAGCATTTTCATTTCTTTCTTAACATGTATACAGGACTTGACTTTAGTTTACTTCATAAAATCCCCATGAAAGGTGAGCATGAGAGAGGTTCAAATGAAAACAAAAGGTTTTAAAACTTTTGGCTGAATCTGTCATGATCTGTGGGTTTGGTGAGGTGAGAGAAGACGCAGGCAGACCAGGATGAAGTGAAGATGATTTAATGACAATAATCCACGGGACAGAACAACAGGGAGCCCAATGAACACACGACGGCACAGGGAAACTGGCTGGTACACACGACGAGGATCCAACAAGAGACAAAGGCAACAGGTGGGACTAAATACACTGGGAGGGTAATCAAAGAAACGAGACACAGCTGGGAACAATCAACAGGGAAGACAGAGACTCACAGGGGAACAGGCCAAGGGACACAGAAAACCTCAAAATAAATACACAGAAAACACAGATCACAACAGAATCAAATTTAAGAGGATTTTGAAGTTTAACGTTGGCTGGTGTTTTATGTTGTGCATTTTTTTTATGTTGCTTATTTCTTATACTAAATAAGCAACATATTTAGTATCAGTAACATGGTCATTTACGCGCCTCATAAAGCAATTTAATAAGGATGTGTTGAAAACAAGTAGAATGTGTCAGCCAGATGTCTTTTCCCCTTCTAGTTTTCCACATGACCCAAATAATACAAACAAGAAGGCACAGTTAAGCTTAAATATATATCCAAGAGACAATAAACCACCTTTAAAATGTCACAGTTTCCATATTCTTTCTACAAAAGCACCATGGCCTAATTCAAAGATGCTAAACAGGTTCAATGTGATCTTATCACTCGAGGCATTAAACTGAATTATTCACAATCTGGAACAAATCAAAGGGTTTTTTTTTAAAGTTGAGGCCTGCAAAGAGAGTGTTGTAGTTATCCAGATGTGATAAGATGAAAGCATGTATGCTGGTCTCTATCTTTAAAATGCACAACATCGAGGCGTTAAAACACACAGCTTACCACAAAATCAGATAGCACAATCTGCTCCAACAAATTCAACATGATCCAAGCAGAACCATCTGGTGGCAAAGGGCAGGGGGGGAGATAAAGCATTTCACAACCTCCCTGGCTTTCTGCTGGGGCTCGTTGGGGGCCTGCAGCCTGTATGCACGAGTTGATGGAAAATCAGGAGGGAAAGTTTACAAACGATTGCAGACTATAGATTTCAGGATCCTAACAGACAGCACTCAGATAAATCCTAGGAGAGCGTGTAGAATATGTTTTCATGGACAGATAAGAAACTACAAAGCAACATAACTTTTCAAGATGGATTCTAGAGATTCCCTGCTGAACTAATCCCTCTGACTGTGAAGCCATTTTTCTTCACACCTTTGGATTTCAACACCTCAGAGCCTAGAACTGATGCGTTTTGCTGTACCATCTGGGTCTATCAAGTCAGTTTGTTTCTTGGCCTTTGGAGGTGCATTATGGTTAGCCAGGACTTTTCCACTGAGACTTCTTTCCAATTACGCTGCAGACACTTCGTGACTGCTTTGCCCTGCATATGATGAGCTGTCTTACTTTTCCAAGAATAAATGCTGAAAAGATAGCACCCAGGTAAAGAGTAACTATCTTGGGATAACACACTTGTGCTTACAAATAAAATTTTTTAGACGTCTATAAAATCCATTTATGTTGACTTACAAAGTCATAAATGGTTGGTAATAATATAAAAAATGAAACCATAATAATTTATTTCAGAACTTTTTCCACTTTTAAACAATGTAAATAATAAAAATAATGTCTTATAACCTGATTGCACAGATATCCACACAAGTAGACAATTTTTAAAGCAACTTTTGTCTTGAACACACACCCAAGATTGATCATAGTGAGTCTAATTAACCAGAAATAAACTTTTACTGTCCTAGCAAAACCTTTCAGAAATTTCCTTTAGCATCTTTTTGCTTCCCACTACTATACTCTGTAGTTATGTTGATTTTTGAACTACTGAAGAAGAGCAGGCAAAAACAAATCAAGTCTCAGATTTTTAGAAGCTCACGTTTTGTGTTTGAAGCCATTGGCAAGATGTGAATTGCAGTTTTTTTTTGTTTTTTTTTATATGATGGTGTGTTTGCTGAAGTGACAAGCTGCCATTGTCGGCCCTGTTCTCAACAGATGTTACAGCCCAATTAGCCTTCAATCAGACGCATGGGCAGACTCGGTGACTGGGAAACGTCACGGGTCAGCACTGGGCTCATAACTCTACAATCACTTGCACACATGTCTTCCTGCTGTTTGAAAGTCTTTTGAAGTTGTACACATGAGATCTGGCGTAACTATGACTTGAACCCTAGTACTGAAATATGCGTGCATGGTAATAACCAACATGTGTCAACACACCTCAGGGTTGAGTTACCTTTGCAGTAACCTGAAGATGATACTACAACTCCGCATACAGATAATATCAGAAAAATGGAGGGTTCATTTTCTTTAGTTTTTACATTTTCAATCAATTGACTCTTTTTTAATACTTAGCCTAATGCAGGCGTACATCTTCTTAATTCAGTGCAAGATTTGTTCATATAAAGTTAGAAGAGAAGTTGTGGCTTTGTGTTTTGCCATTGTTTTGTTTTCATTAAAACAAAAACAATGGTTTCTTGTGAAATCGTAAACAAATGCGGGGTCAGCTTTTGATTTAAAAACAATCAACTTTTAATGGTTTCAAACAGTATACACGTTTGTAGCATGCATGGTAGAAACAGACTTAAATAAAATATAAATACATATTTAATTTTCCTTTTACACCCATTGACCAGCTTACAAAGTACAAGTTTTTTTTCTTTATTAAAACTTTGCATTCAGTTTTAAATGCAGACTTTTCTACGAACTTCTAACCTTGGAAAAGAACACAAGCTTAAAAGTAAAACATCAAAATGAAACTGCTTATTGAACTGTAAAAAAAAATTGACTGTTAAATAAAGATAACACGTTTGTTGAATCTCTATGCTTAGTGGGGTCAAGTGTCACAGCATTAAACACACAAACAGTGTTTCAAATTCATTTTACAATGAAGCATTACTACGCTGAATGAGCCAAAGTGTAACAGTAAGAAAATTAAAATAATTCAAAATACAGTTTACACTGTACTATAACTGCAGCTGAAGGATTTTGTTTGAATGCAAAGGAAACTAGATTCATTCACGTCGACGCCTGCACAACTTGAGTATCGGAGTTAAGTGTTGATTTAGTCAAGTTCTGTTTTAAAATAGAAAATTCAGTTCAAACACGTTCACACACTATTTTAATGGTTACAAATTGAGCAGGTGTTAGGTTATTCGATGGCAATAAATCTTGGTTAAAAGAATAAAAAGATCAAACGAATACATAAACTAAACTTACTCAATATTTCATTTCAATTTTTCTTTTGTCTTTGTAGCTTAGGAACACACACTGATCGATATTTAGAGCAAGCCTTAAAGCTATTGTATGTGCTTTCTTGTGCCCTACATACCAGAATACAAAGTGTCAATATAAAGAAATATAAAAATGTAAGAATTTTAGACGTTTCAAAAAGAGTTGCATCAGATGCATCAGATGCTTTCAGTACCTTTTTAAAGAAACCATTTAAAACTTTCCTCTGTTCTTACCCAGCCATTTTTCTGTTTCACCTTGGAAAAAGAATTCATTCAGTGAAGCCAGAAAGCTAATCAGTATTATGTTTTTTTTTCTAATAAAAAAGGAACACAATTAGTACAGCGTCTTCTTTACAGTTACATTAATGTGATGTTTGTTGTCTTCATGCCATGGAGTTCTTCAGGGTTTTGCATTTGAGCCAAACATTTTTCTGAATCAGGATTTTAATATGAAACATGCAAACTTTTAATTATTGTTATTCATGTATTAATGTACACTGCTCAAAAAAATAAAGGGAACACTCAAATAATACATCCTAGATCTGAATGAATGAAATATTCTCATTGAATACTTTGTTCTGTACAAAGTTGAATGTGCTGACAACAAAACCACACAAAAATCATCAATGGAAATCAAATTTATTAACCAATGGAGGCCTGGATTTGGAGCCACACACAAAATTAAAGTGAAATGTTCCCTTTAATTTTTTGAGCAGTATATAATAACACAGTACTGCTTTTAAAAACATCATACCTAAATAATTTAAAAGAAGTTTGCATTCTTATTCTTTAATGCATTTCTCCCACGTATTGGAACTGAAGTGAACTTTTAATGAAAGAAATACAACATTTCTTAAAACGGAAGAATGTTTTTTACAAAATACAATTTACTGCTACAGATTTGAGTGTATGGCATTTCCATTCCAAATTATTTTTTAATCACAAAGATTTTTTTATTTTCATTTTCAATCCATTTAGTATATTTTGTATCCCTGCTACTCCACTTTTAACATCTTACTTTATAGTGGTGGATCTGAGCTAATTCCAATTAAAATAAGCACAAAAATCATATTTTAAAAAAATACACAACAGAAAATACATAAAGAATTGTTCTAAAAGTAAAATTTTAAAAATAGTATTTACACAATAGAAAGCACAAAAACCTTGACAGTTATGGTTTCTTGTCATGTCTCTGAGGAACTCAACAGAAAAGTGGAAAACAAATGACCTGATGTAAGAAACCATCATTTCAAAAAGTCCCTTAAAATTGAATATGCAGATTTATGCAGTAACAAGATTAAACTGTTACTGCATAAAATAGCTAGAAAAGCAAAAATTGTGAAAACAGATTTTCCAAAAATGCAATTAGAGAGAAAAAAATAATTTCATTGTGATGAAAAGGGTTCCCAAGCATGCAAGATGATCTGCAACTCTTGGGCAAAAACCCTTGGCGATATATAAATAACATTGCCTCATGCGTAATGCAATAAAGCAACAAAACACAATGTAGCATCCAACTAAACACTGGAGCTGACTGGCAACAACTAAGAGCTCCATGCAACTGGACAATGAGCTGGTCACGAAACTCATTTAAAAACTAAAAGAACCGACTCCGGCTTCCACCCCCTTCAATCTGCCCCGCAATGGATCCATATAACTGTAGGCCAGCAAAGCCAGGTCCATAGCTGACGATCGCTTCCACAGGAACCAAGAGATATGCAGAACATCTCCGTGCCAGATGCCGCGGTCTGCTCGGTGGGATCCGGTTTTGGCCGCACATCCACGACGTTCACACACTTTTTGGTCTTCCTGCGTCTCTTACAGTTTGTTACGGTCTGTAACCAAAACAATCGCCACAGAGAAGTTTCCATCTCTGTGTCGGCAAGTTGGGTTTTTTGATCTTTATCTTGTGTTTAAAGAAAAGTTCAGCCCATGGCAGTAAGAATGAAACCATGTGTCTTTGATCCGTTGAACCGTCAACAGTCGTCTCAGAAAATTTCGTCTTTAGATACTTGAGCTTATGCTTTCAGTGTTGTAGCTGAGTGAAATTTCAGATAATCCGAGTTTGTGAAGAGTACAGAATATCAAACATTAAATATATAATGGAACAAACCGCACTCAGGGATTAGACGTTTGAAGGAAGTATGCTAATGTGAGAGTGTGTGCAGGAGAATCTCAGATGTTCTTGATATCAGCAAAACATTAATTATCATAAGAGTCACTCAGGATAAATAGCAAACATGAAACAAGGTCCACGCTAAGCGAAATCACACCGACATGCACATGTTTTATAAATCTCAAGCTTGCAGTTTTCTTAGTTTTCTTGGCTGTGATAAAATTTGTCACTGTCACATAAAAACAGAAAGACGTGAGTGAAGAAATTCTTGACAACTCTCACCTGAAAAAACATTCTGGGAATATACTGTAATATACAATTTAGTATGAAAGTCTCTTGTTACCATGTGCTAATAACATCTCAGTCTTTACTGACAGAAAAGTTCACGTCCTTCACCTATGAACTTTATTAAAATCGCTCACTGTCAAACACTCGAATGAATGAATTCATCTTTTTTCTTAGTTTTTAAATGAAAACATTCTATTTATTTTATGGCAAGAACAGACAAATCCACCAGATTCTCATACGCTGACTGATTAGGTCAGGTTTTTAATTGGCTCCCAAAACCGTCCTAACCCGAATCGAAAACGAAGGATCTATTTTTCCTCTTTGATTTCGAATCCTTCATTTTCTCCGGTGTTACTCTGGCTGTAATCTGAGATCTCGTGGCGTCCGGTTGCGTTCTCCGGAGCCTTTGCTGCGCGCCTTCCTGGCACTCTCCTGAGCTTGGCGGTATTTCTCCAGCATGCTCTTGTGCTTCCTCCGGAGCTTGTCGTTGCACCACATCCTCTCGCAGTACTCCTCGACGTGAGGCAGGTTAGACGGCCCGATGAGCTGCATGATGTCCTTGAACCACGTGCGCGACTGGCCGATTTGACCCCTGCTGTAAGGCCCCGTGCTGCAAGGCATCCAGGGCCTGTGGTTCCCTGGAGACCGGTCTTTGAACCCGTCAGAGATGCCCGCAATGTCGCGGGCAATGAGCTCATCCACCGTGTCCGCTTGGAGGACCTGGAGGGAGATGCGCGCCAGCGTTTGGCTGAAGCTGTGCTCCCGGGAGCGGCAGATGTACACACCTTCGTCCTGACGGAAGAGATGACGAAACAGCAAACCCTGATCTGTTGACATCACACGATCATCCAGCTTCACCTAAATGGGACAGAGAGAAAATAACCGTTTGTGCATGTCGATCACCATATTTTATGAAGAATATTTTCTGTCTAATGTATGTTACATTTTAATTTGATCCTTGATTTCATTTCTATGGCCTATAAAATTCTTTGAAAACTGTTGTTTTTTGAAGTAAAACGTCAAAGATTGCAGGCAAAGCCCAACACTTCCTATTAATGCGAGCTGAGAAAATGTTTCATCTTTCATTGAATGAGAACAAAAACAAGAATGTCGGGCGCTTCTCTTTCCTCAGCACAACTCGTAACAACAAGATCTCCAGAGTTTTCTTTTTCATGTTTGTTTTCTCCTATTGTTCCTTTTATGTTTTTCAGATAACAAGTGGAGCGCTCCCTGCTGCCCCTATATAATGCACGCTTCCCGTCTCCCACGTTTTCTCATTCTGCTCATTCTGTTTCTCTAGAGGTAACCTGTTGCCAACCCAAACACACGGTCTTGTCAGCTAGTGGCAGCTAAATGTTTATTTGCAGGGAAACAGAGAGGGGTAGTAATGCTTTAATACTTGAACGGCTGTGCGGGACATTCACTCGAGCTCGGAGGAGCAGAACCTCAAACGGACGAAAGCTTTCTGTGGGTGTGCGTCCACCCAGCAACATCATTTTCTAAATACAGCTTTAGGAGACTTTACAGCTTTGTGTTTAAGTCACAGTGGCCCGCAGGCATTTAAGTGACACTTGATCCGTCGGCAGCATGTGGAGGCCGGAGGAGAATTCACTGTTTATCCAAGCGACGAGGCAATTGAGCATTTTGCTTTGAAATGTAACTGCTTAATTTGAACCACATGTCAAATGGCTGTCAAATGTGTCAGCCACATGACTAATCTCACTTTTACAGGCGGTTGTTCAAACCACACAAAGGTTTCACCCCGCGCCAACACTTTTCCTCTTCGCCACCACCATCGCACGTGCGTTTCATTTTGACACCTCTGATGTATGATTTTGACCGGCTTGTCTATGCGAATCGTCGCACCTCTTCCTTGCGGTCATCGCGTTGGACGAGCCAGGTGACGGAAGCTTGCGGCGAGCGAGGGACACACTCTAGGAAGGTGCTGTTTTTCTCCGTCCCATACACAACTTTGTCCTCAGTCACGTCCAGGTCTTCTCAAAAAAGAAAAAATATAGAGTTAGAGAAACTCTAGAATTCAAAAGCATGACAATAAATCACTTATGACCGAGAACTAAACTTCTACACAAAATTAATTATCATTGGAATTGGTTAAGCTTATGTCATGCAAATATGTTGGTGCTTTAGAAAAAAATGCATATTATTTGGACTTAAACATGACAAAATATATGGGAAATACTTACAATTTTAAAATATTGTAAGTATTTTAAAATTGTGTAAGTGGCACTATTTAATAAAAATTAAATAGGGTGTTATACAAAAAAAAATAAGCATTTAATATTTGATTATATGAAATTATTTTGTGACATATTTTATAAAGAATTCATTAAAATACTTGACTAAAATAATTACACAGTGACTTATGCATGTATATGAAGTGATTTGATTGTAAGCATCAAATTTAAGTCATAAAATGGGACAAAATGGTAATGATTGGTTATGAAACAGCTGCAGCATTTTGGAAAGGGATGAATTCACACTAAGCCGCTATAACGTCTCTCCTTTCACACTTCAACAAAAGTCTTCAGCAAAGACAACTTGTCCACTGAGGTTCACTGAAAGGCTTAGAAAGAGGCGTCTTTCATCGCTCCACCACCAAACACTCAGGTGTGTGAACAAATTCAGGCATGTCTCTTTCTGCTAATTCTTAAATCACTGTTATGTCTTCCCATCTGTTTTGAACTCTCTTATTGCCAAATTTATAAGCATTGAATCCATTTTGGTTTTTGTTTTTTTTTTTGGCTGTGAAAGGATTTAAAAAGTGGAACGAGTGCTTCTGCCTCTTTCACCCCATCAGCTTTCAATAATTTAGTTGTTACATGCATACATGAAGTAACAGCATGTTTGACTTGGCTCAGTCTTTAACTGTACGTCGTTTCTCCTCAACTTTTCAGCTACAAATCTTTGCTGAAATACCTACACCTTTTTTTCCTTAGCAAAGAAGCAGGGAACACAAGGCGGGGTTAATTTTGAGGAAGTAATTTGGTGTGTTTTGAGGTGTAGATGGGTGCTAAGAAGGATATGGGTGGATGCAGACATTACAGTCAGTCTAACATTTGCATAGGTGGATAGAAATGTAAATTGTTTAAATTTGTTAAATTGTTTTCCAGAGCACAGGAAGATTAATGCAGCATCTTCTCTGCAACCTTTCGCATCAGAGCCACATTAATCGGAGCGCTGTCATGGAATGAGGTCAATGGTTGGAATACTCCTGCAAGGTATGAGCGGTTTTCCCTCAAATTCCTGTTTACACAAGTTAAATAACACATTCTCAAAGAGTTTATCCTGAGAAATGTGGGCTAAATAAAACAGTCTGGGGTCTTCTTTTTACAAGCAAGTAAACAGTTTAGACTTGTGCCACAGGAACACTGAAGAGACACGAGTCTGTTTAGAACGGGGGTGGCCAACTCCAGGCCTGGAGGGCTGGTCTCCTGCAACATTTAGATGTGTCTCTACTTCAACAAACCTTAGTCAAATAACGAGGTCATTAGTAGGACTCTGGAGAACTTGACTGCACTTAGGAGGTGACTCAGCTGTTGGATTCAAATGTGTTGGACCAGGGAGACGTCTAAGAGTTGCAGGACACCGGGCCTCCAGGACCTGGATTGCCCACCCCTGGTTTAGAACCACCTAAGCAACACGTGGATAGATTGAATGTGGCCTCTAGGCTGTTGTAAGAATTAGTCATTGATGTAGAAACTATCTTTGCCCAAACATGTGTTTAATTACAATTATCATAAAATTACCTACCATTTTCAGTTCAGCTTGTTCCATTTTAAAAACAATTATTAAGATGAGACACATTTTAACCAGTTCATCCAAAACTATTCATAACCAGAGGAGATTTAAAATTATATTATTAAAACAGGAACTTTGTTTCTGATATTTCTCTATAGTAATCGAGAAAAATACAAGATATTCTCGGACAGATTCAATTTGGAAGTGTCGTTGGGCCACTGTAAAGTTTTTGTTTTGATTAAAACCAGGAGAAACACAATGGGCGTTTAAAAGACTACTTATGAATAAATCATTTTTGGTTTGAACTGCATCTGTGTCCAATAACAAAAGCATTGGACAGAAGGGGAATGCCCACTTACCGCCAACGTTCTGATCCACACACTGCAGCACGGCGTTCCCATGTTTGACGTCTTGCCTGCGGAAGCGACGTTTGCTGTTTGGAACGAATCGAGCACAGGAGGATCCATCCCAGGCACAGTACGGATCTCTGGCAAGGCAGCACTCAGCACAGGCTTTCCCATACGTCTCGCAGCGATGCAGCTTCACCTGCGCCACACCTGCTGCAGAGCCCACATACAAGGCTTGCTGTGCGGAGGCGAGAGAAAAAGAATGAAGGGGAAAACGCAATACGAGAACAGTTTCTGGAAGGCGACAGAGGTAAGAGATCAGTGTATCAACTCACCCTTTTCACAGATATATCCAGTGAAGTGATTGGGATTGGTACCTGAAAAAAAAATTATTGAAATTTGGTGAATTATTGAAATTAAATTATTTTAAATTAATTAATTAATTAAATTAATTAATTAAATTAAATTAAATTATTGAAATTATGAAATTTGGTGAAAGCATGTTAAAGCAGCTCATGAACAGCTGGTTCCATCCTGTATTTGTACCCACATTTCATCCAGTATGCATGACATTATACCTTAGCATAAACCTTTGGAAACCTGGCTATTTTGAATACAAACCAAAGTAAGGTACAAACTATCTAAACGTAGAATCATTTGCATAGTCGTAGAAGTAAAACTTACTTTAAAGACTTGTAGCTCCTCCAGTGTGACCTCCTCCGCCTCCAGACTGTTTCCACCTTGAAGGGAAATTACCTTCAAAACCGTTCCAACGTCTTCAAGAAAAACAGAAATACATTAATCTGTTACTGCAGACAACAGAGGAACAAATCCAACAGTTCTACCCCATATATGGTCAATATCAGATCTTTTCAAGCAGATTAAGTTCACGTTCATATCTGACACATATCGAACACAGAAACAGTTTTTCCCATTAAGTAAGCCTAGTAATAATAATTTAACTTAGAAACTTTTGAATTGCATGTCTTTCTGCACAACGCTCTCTCTTTAGTCAGTTCAGGCCAGTTGACTCTTCACACCGACATCTGATATCACCACTTAAATTCTAACACTAAAAAGTCGAGCAAAAACATCAGATCTTAGCAAAAAAAAAAAAAATCTTAAGAATCTGTAGTGAGATGGTGATGATGTTTGATCTTGTGTGCTGCAGGTACAAGTAAGCCTTTTAAAATTAAACACACTCACAACATAACTCAACTGAACAAGTAAAATCTGATGTCTGAAAACCAAACGTGCAAAAAATAACTATATGCAAGTTCTGCATTTTGAAAAAGGCATTCAATCACTTGAGCCTACCTGTACCAATAAACATGACATCATACTGCCCGTCCTCTGCCTCCACTCTGTCAACCACAATTTGTTTCAGCTTGTAAGGAATGTTGGCCTTCACCAGCACAGGCTGGCGAAGTGCTGGGAGCACCGGGCGCCACATCAGAGGGTGGCTGCGGGCGAACTGCAGCACAGAGTCAGGGAAGTCCTTTGTGCTGCCAAACTCTTTGCCGGGCTGGTTGGTGATTTTACTTGGGCACTGGCAAGACGGGAAGAAGGGCGAGACACAGATGATGAGCAAGAAGAAGATAAATGTGATCATGTTGTTCAGCTTTTACTGGCTGACGCATGCTAAAGCATGCTGCAAGTGAGAAAGAAATGGACATGTCAAAGCAAAACCAACAGATGGAAGAGATTACCATGTTCTTCTCCAATTACAAATTCCCACCATTTTACACCAAACTGTAAGTGTTTTCCAAACAAACTGTAGCCTAATTATGGTCTTAAATTCGACACAAAGAACCCTCATTAGGAGTTTTATTTCACTGAAAAACTGGATGAAAGTTCATGACCACTATTATGGCATCCAGAGCTTTGTAGACGCTCCAGCTTATGCCACTGTAGGGATAGGAAATCTAATGAACAAAGCATTTGGCAAAGATAGCGTTTCACTGAAATAATCAGGAAGGCTGAAAACGGTCCAAAAGTGAGCATTTACGCAAGCTGTTGGAGTTCTAGGTTCGCTCATACTGCAGATCTGGATTTCTGATGGGAGCAGCCAAAGCCTTTGTCATGCACTGCTACATTTTCATTAATCTTCCAGACAACTGGTTTGCATTATGCTTAGAATTAAAGGGTAATAACACCGGAATCCTGGCAGATAGTTGGCTGAATTTATTCTGCAGGTGGCAAAAGCCATCAAAAGTGATGCCTCATTTGTCTTTTCTAAAGTTTCCATAATTTCACTTGTTCAAGGAGAGCTACCTTTCCAAAAGCATGATGCTCTCCCACATTATTTTGTATTTCAGTCAAGCTTTACAGTCATTTCAATAAGTTGGTTTATTATCATAGTAGTTTGTCAATTTCACATCAGATTGTTCTGAATGTAAAAGGACATGAGGAATGCTGCGACACGGATCTCTACGACGGGTTGTGCACCTTAAAATGCATCATGTCAACATGCAACGAAAAAAGACCAATTTCTTCCGTCTGGCCTTGTAAACACATCTGACGAGAAAAGGCTTGAAAAATGATCTCTATAAGCTGCTTGGAGTTCAGGCCGCTAAGCAGCCATAACACTTTTGGGCTGTCTCCCCAAAAATAATATTTTTTGGTCCACATCTGACCCAAAAGGAAAAAGATAGAATAAGAAAATTGCACTCATTATTTTTAAATGTGTATTTTCCAGCTTAAAATTTACTCCAGCACAAGTCCACTCCACAGTGAGACAATATTTTGTCTTGTGAGTGACATCTGGACAAATGAGAGTGAGACTGGTGTTTTGGAAATTTGGTTTATAAGTCAGAAATAGTGCTGTCTGAATCCAAATCCTTATAAGTGACAGCCTGGGAGTATAGTTGATTGTAAATAAATCCTTAAATTTGATTTTTATGTCAGAAATTGATTTCCAGGCTCAGCGAATCGCCCTTCAAACCCAACAGCTCTACATAGATTCAGGTCACGACAACGAAGGACTTTGGGGGAAGTAGATTACAGTTTATGGTTAAGACGTTTCTACATGTAAAGCTCTAGCAGGTGTGCAGTAAAATCTATCCCAGCATATTGTCAACTAACGGATGAGCTCTAACGCATATTTAAACAATGTGCTATAAGCTAAAAAGCAGATGTAAATGTCTCAGGAGGAAAAATGCCCTTAACTGCGCTGGAATTTACATTTTTAGGAGGGGCATAAAATCTATCTTCTGCTTTTCATAAGCCTCAGAAATAAGAGTTGCACATCTTAATACGTAATTGTTCTCTAGGTTAAGATGTTTAAGATTGATTTAAAATGTTAAATATTTGGTTTGAAAGACGTCAAACCTTGGATAAGAAACAACAAATCTCTTTCTACCTCCTGTACCTCCTCACTATTTTACTCTGATTTACTGTTTTTTTTTCTTTTAATGTCTTCCTTCATGTTTTTCCTCTTCGTTTGAAGCCAAGACATTCCTGTTAATCAGGGAGTCGGCGGAGGGAAACCACAGAGGTGTCTCCTCCGTTCTCACATTATTCATCTTCCTCCTCCATGCTCTCTCATTCACTCAGGTAATGGAGCAGAATAGCCCATGCGACATCGCTTTAAGTACGCATGCCCTGCGTACATGCGTGTGTGTTTGCGTGTGTAACAAGGCTGAGTTACAGCGATGTGGTTGAGCCCTCCACTCAGAGTCAGGATGTAATCCAGGATAGGGGGTCTGTGCCATGTACAGTCACAACAGCTGCACTTCCACTTACAGTAGTTTACTTTAGCAATATGGAAACTTTCCTCACCTCATATATAATGTTTTTTATACCCCTTTCCATCCCAAAATATTTTTCTCCCTTAGTTTTTGTGCAAACTGTGGACCTAATAAACTGTTCCTGGAGTTTTAGGCTACTTACGCGCAACTGAAAAACAGCTTTGTGTAACTTGCACACGACTGTAGATTCATCAAAATCTGTCAGCATTTAGTTGCACCAGTGGTGGTGAAGCTTAAAGCGGATATTTGAATAGGCAGGCTACCTGAACCAACTTAGATTTGTTTAACATTTCACAAGGAAAAACTGGAGTAGGTTATTTAACTATTTATGACGGTCGATGCTTTGTTGTTGTCTAGTTTAAGATACAAAGATTGTATTCAAAACCCTAATCTGAGAGTTTAGAAGCCAAATGTAGTGAAACTGTCAGTTTTTGAGCATGTGTGTATTTATCTGTGGACTTACTGACAGTAGCTAAGAAAAAACAGTCGAATATTGACTAAAATGTATGTTGTGATGTAACAGATGAAAGATATAAATAACTGAATTTTAAAAATGTCTAAATTTCAGGAATTCAGATTTTTAATCCGAGTCTGGAAAAAAACCTGCAAAACAACCGAAACACTGAGTGTCTTTAAATCTAGACTAAAACCAACCTGTTAAGAGTTGCTTTTGAATCATAATTAATGAAACAGTAATCAACAATACCTGATGTGTAGCAACAGCAAAATGTAATGTTTCAGTTGTTGACTGTGTGTTCTATGACTTTGTATTTCTGCGATGTGAAGCACTTTAAAATGCCTTGTTGCTGAAATGTGCTCTACAAATAAAATCTGATTTGATTTGAATGTTTGTTTAATGAAGCAAACATTAAAACTGAGTGTAGAAAACCATTTCTATACTCAATCTTCCTTTTTCCATAATTAGTGACACAAACGTCAAACTCCAGACTCTCTACACTACACAATAACCATGTTCATCTCTCATAGTTTTGCATCTACAAAAGTCTTACAGCTGATTCTGTCTTGCATCAGAAACTAATAATAATGCAGTAAAAATGTTTAACGAATTAGAAAACCACAGGACAATCTCTGCTGCATAAAACTCAATGCATTAATATGCACAAATGCTTTTCCAATACAACCAATGTTCTATGCACAAACAACCTTTAAACCTGAAACTTGGAATGGCTTTTACAAGCTTTTAACTCGGATTTATGGGCATCGAGGTGCTTTCAGTTTGTTGGATCACTGCTTTGCTTTAAAACGAGTTCCAACTTTCCTCTTGATTATCAAACAAAACATCACAGTGTTTATAGTGATTGAACTGAGCAGTTTCTCACCAATTTAAATCCGCACCTTTGTACACGCAGTTTACAAACGTAAATCTTTAAATATTTAGATTACCGAAATTATCAAAGTAAATATAAAAGCATGGATATAGAGATATGCTGCACCCTAATGTTGCAAAACTCTTTACACTTTAAACAGGTCAACTGTTGTGTAGATATGTGTTAGTCAGGACTATAAACACTTCAAAAAGCAAAGTTTACTAAATATGAGCAAATCTTTAATTAAAGGAACTATGGCTGGTGATCTGTCACTTACAACTCCTGGTCTTGGATAAGGCATCCTGCCTTCATAGGGGCCCCACTGATAGTTAGGGCCCTCTTTGTGAGCAAAGGGCCCATTGAAAGCTTCTCTGATGTCAGCCATGCGGTAAACACATACAGCAAAACCTTGGAAAACGTTACTGTAGAGAGAGAAAAACAATTACATAGATTATTTGCATCATGTCGTGTGGTTACACTCTAAAATCAAATCTACACCAGTTTATAATGGTAAGACGATAAACCAACAGATATATGGAAAATATGTAGTCTGACATAATGTAAGGAGAAATCAAACCTATAAACAGCTGAACTCGAGTCATGGCAGTCATACTTATTTAAGATGTTCAAAATGATCTACAACTTGGTCTGGACAGAGTTATTGACTCGTACAATAAATCACACATAGCAGTTTTGTCCTGCTCCAGTTCTCAAAGGGAGGCATCCTGCAGAGCTTAAATGTGTTTTTACTCCAGCTCAGCTGATTCAAATGGCTGAACTGCTTCCTCAGCATGTCGCCTGGCACTGCAGAGGCTTGTTAATGACCCATTTATTTAACTCAGCCGTGCTGAATCAGGGCAACATCAAAGTCATGCAGGACAGCGCAAAATGAGGACCGACTTTGGACATAAGAGTCACAATCAGGGTAAAACATTGTTTAGTTTTCATCCACACCATCTGAGTGGCCTAACGTCATTTTATCATTTTTAAATGATAAAAAGAATTTATCATTTAAAATTTTTAAATGATAAAATTATCACAAAATTTTATCATTTTGTGATAAAATGTATTTTTATCACAAAATGAGTGATACAAACACATTTTGCTGCAGATGCGTTTACCTGATAGTGCTGAAAATCGCATAGATGTCCGGGTTTCTCTCATCCTTGGTCCGCAGCATGAAAACATCCTCTGGTTCAAATTAGAAAAAAATATATATATATATATGTGTGTAATGTGAGTTTTGATTAGTAAGCTAAATTTGCAGTTTGTTAAGAAAGGTTAATGAAGGTTCCGGTGAAAGTTTCTAAATGTGTCAATGAAATGTTTTGGTGCCTCTTATTTGTCTGTGCCTTTTTCTCACCAAGCTGGTTGAAGTGTGTGTCGATGCCATGAGGTCCAGGAACAGAACAGACCAGCCTGGCTTTTATGAACGTGCTCCACTTATTGACTAGAACTCGTTGTCCTCCAACATCGTTCTGGTGGGAAATGCAAACAAACAACCAAATTAACACAGCTGGGCATTTATTTCCAAACAGACATTATCCATGCTTTTGGTTTTAATTAAAGACCAACATGTTAGATTAAAGAATGACACATGTTGACGCCGTCTATAATTTCAGGGTTCCTCATAGAGGCATGCAAGGTGGGGTTTTATTGTCTGAAGAGCCCCAATTTTAAAGATGGATATCCTGATCAATATCATGGACATGGTTTGATTAATGAGATTTTACAAAAAGTCAAACAAATTCTGTGTCCTCAAACCAACTAAACACATTTTCTTTAACATATAAAAGCTGGAATGGAGGGAAAATAATCCAGAAATGAACAATTTCCAGATTACAAGCCGCTACTTTTTTCACATACTTTGAACACTGTGTCTTAAACAATGATGGGCCCAATGCAAGAATTGTCACCCACGGGTTTCTAGAAGCTGGAGTGCGTGACGAAGAGGACAGCTCGAGTGCAACATTGTCTCGAGACGAAAGAGACATTGACACCAACAACAAAAGACAGACTGATGAACCGTGTGACCAAGTAATTCTGAGGCTCTTCAATTCAGACTTAGATAATGACTAAGTTAGCGGTTCTACGACCTGAACTTCAAAAGGTTTGCATATACAAAAACAGATGAAACTTGATTTTTGCCATACACGTCGAAAAACAACGTGCAAACAGGAAAATAGACTAGGAGGCACAACGCATGCCTTCATGAATATGCAAAGCATAGGCTGATCATCACAAGACAGAAAATAATGGGAGAAGGACAGGCAAGTGACTGAACACCCACAATGCAACATAAACCGGAACCAGACTACTAATTGCTGTTTTTGCGTCTAAATGCACCAGGCCTTATTCACAATAGAAACACTGATGTACGTGTAGAAATTTCCCTAGAAAGGTGTAGAACTTGAACTTTTATCTGTGCTAAACATAAGAAAAAAACAATCCAGTAGTGTTCAGTTTTATTTCCCTGACACACATGCAATACAGATCATTTTGTCACAATCAGAATAACAGAAGGTGTTCATGTTTACATCCACACCGTTTGGATCATCAGTCTGCTTACACCACCGTCTCAATCAGATTACAAATTCATTCCTACCAAGTTGAAACTGATCAGAATATTTTGATTGGGGCATTTAAATGACGCATTTTTATTCCGATTGGTCATTTTTTGCTGATTATTGTACCTACGTCTATGTAGATGTACCTACTGCAGAAGCTCTGTAATAAAGCTGCATATTGGATGCTCTTCTGTTTAAAGCTTAAATGAATTTACTGTGCTGTCGTCCCAAAAATAAAAATTACAAGAGGAAAGGAAAGAAAGGAAGATGCAGAGATAAAAGTCTTCAAAGAAAGTTAAAACTATGATTTTATGAATATATATTTTTTATATTTTCCTTCTGACACAATATACCACTCTTCAGCCCTGCAGCTGTGTGAATAAGTGAATAAAAAAAATATGGCAATATGTATACTTTAGCCATATTGCTTTGACTTCTCAAGGCACATATGGTTTTGTAAGACAAATCGATGCGTGAAAGAATGTTGCAGGGCTTGGAATGCGTTCCAAGTCTCTGGTTGGGAAATTTGACAGCTGCATGTAGTTTGGGAGACGAAAACATTTATCTTAGTCTGAATATAATAACACTTTCACACTCCTGTAGGGAAATGTAAATACTTTAGGATAAATTTGTCCTTTCAACACAAACGTTTTCAAGTGTCATAATAAAAAGACTTAAGCATTAAGCACATTATCCCCTGTCCTGTAATGTTATTTGTGAAGTAAATAGCGTGGTCGGGTCTTTAGATCTAATCACTGGCTCTTCAGCTCTGCTGAGGTTTTCACTGCTAAATCCCAGAAGGACTTAACTCCTGGAAGAGAAAGCAAACTTGCAGCAAAGCTCCACTGAAGCTCGGAGCTGGAAACATAATCATTTACTGTCTCAAAAGTAAGAAGCGATTATGATGTCTCACCACACACACTCGTCCAACTCGTGTGTGGATGGCCTCCTCCTTGTCCCCTCCCTCCGAGGCCTTCTCAGTGAAAAAGAAATACACCTTGTCGTCGTCCCTGTCGTCGTTATCCGGGATGACGTGGGCAGCGATGAACCGAGGGTCTGGAAGGAGTAAACGGGAGGTTGAGAAACCTAAAAGGAGAATCCTAATCTGATTTTCTATTGACGTCTATCACTACAGTTAGCTGCTTTCAGTATCAGAGGCACATTTCCATCATCTTGCTCCTAGATCAGACCATTGGTGCAAGTTTTCAAAATAAATAAGTGACATTTTTTTTTTTTTTTTACCATGAAGAAGCTTCTGGTCAGTCTCTGTTCTCATGGTGGTGCGACCTCCCATGCTCCTGAAGATCACAGAGTCTCTTCCAAGAAAATCTGCGGTCAGTCCTGTGTATAACTCACCACCTGCAGGCAGGCGGAGTCAGAGGTGGAGAGAGAAAGAAAAACATTTAAACAGCCAATTTCATTTCTTTGTGTCTGAAAACCAAAACCAATAACAGTTTTGATATGAATCAAATCACGGATGACGGGAAGATTGTGCCCGGTGCAGTCAACCAGGACGTGTTGACTGCACAGACAGTCACAACACCTCCAGAGGGTTTTGAGCCCTGACAAATAAACACGTCTGATGCAGGACCTACTTCCTTAGCAACAAAAACAACATCTCTCCTTCCAGTGAAAAGCCAAACGTCAAGCAAACATGGGTGAGGTGCTTGGAAGTAAACGACAGAGGAAAAGAGATGGATAATGTGGGAAAACTTAGACTTGCATTTTTTTTTAAAGCATTCCTGGCCAATATAAAGAAGGCTATTGAGGTTACAGTCCCTCAAAAAAACATGCAGTTGCAGACCTTTGGTGGTGAACATCACCAAAATGTGTTTTTCGATTACATATTTTCATCTTCTGCTGCGGTGAAATTAAGGCACACTGGATTCACGACAGAGGAACTTCACTGTACTGTCGTATTGTATTGTTTTATGAATTAATGTTGTAGTTTGTCTTACTCGGGTCCGTCATCGCTCTTCAGCAGCGTTAAGCTGTACTCAGTGGCCTTGTTCTCTCCGTTTTTTTTCCTGTCACAGCTGTTCTCATGTTCCTCGAGATTAATAAAAGAACTTTTAGTTTAGCCACAAGCTTGAACACAATTGACTGAAAATATGAGAGCAATTACTTGAGCAAGTCTGTGTACAACTCTGTCTCTGACCTGTGAACATAAACACATTAAATAATTATGTCATTAGCAAATCTTCTTCCTAAATTGTAAAAAAAATAAAATAAAGAGAGAGAGAGAGAGAAAAAAAATCCACTTTTTTGATATTGAATCATCATCACAGAGTTTTTCTCAAGAACTCCATCTGTTCGGAAATCTCAGCTGTTTTTAATTTTTTTTTTTTTTTCTTCCCCGGATAATGTTGAAACTGAATCTGGCCCACAGATTGCTTTTGTACAACATGGTGAAGAAAAATATATATATATTTTCTTTGGCAGTACTAATGCTATCACAAACACACCCATTCTTCTTAAAATCGCAGAGACAAATACAATGTCTTCACATAGCTTTGTTCTGTGATGTTATCTCATGAGCAAATATGGAAAGATAGACAAACTAATTAGTGCTGAACATACAACATTGTTTCTTTTGAGGAAGGATCAAGAAATGTATCAGCTGATAACTGATACAAATGAGTTTAGCGCAGTTTAGCTACGTTATCAGAGAAAGATAAATAGTTGAAAGAATTGTACTTTGAAGCAATGCAAGCAATTTTAGTTATTAGTGGCACTGATTGTAATTGTTGAAAATCTTAAAGAAATCAATTTTCCGAGATAAGAAATATGGAACAAGAAATTAATTTTATTGGACACAACTTTGCTAGGAGGGGAAAAAAAATAAAAAATCCACTGCGTCCCTTTTTGAGTAATCTGAACACATCACCGTCTTCACCCTGCATTTATAGTTCACATTATCAAATGTTCCCGCTTTAAATCTCCCACTATTTCTGCAGTGAGCTTGAAAATTTGTGTGCCCATGTGGCCACTGTACATGATATCTGGGGTCTAAACTGCCAAATATTTGGCTCTGGCTTTAACATTCTCCTGCCAAACACAAAGCACTGCTGGATGATTTCTGATGCTGGAATCACCCAGCTGTGCAGATGTATGCAGACACACACGCACACACACACACACGCACGCACACCTACACACACACACACACACTATGCAGGCCTCCACCCTAAAAAGATCCCAGGATCATCTGTCACTGGCATAAATCAATGTTCCTTCACAAGGTGCAATAAATACTTAATGACATTTCAAGAGAAACACCCAGAATTGTTTATTCTAGCGGGGATATTTTCAAAATGTGGACGTTTCACCACATGTTAAAGCCAAGAAAGGTTTGCTTTTAATAAGGTTTTGTCTTGTTGATATGACAAAGCACCTGCAACACAAAATAGTTTTATTGGAGGTGTACATTTCTGTCCTTATATGGAACAAATCTTACAGGTAGCCATTTAGAGATATGACAAATGCAGGATATAATGGTGCAAATGACTTGTACTTGGAAGTTGCGTTTTCTGGTTTCCGACACAGGAAGAACTTAATATGATGCCTAATAAAGTCAAAAAGTTGCCATTCCAGAGCCATTCTGAGTTCAGTATGCAACGCAATGCAGCATATACAAAACCTAGTTTTGTTGCAGGATGATAGAAATCAACTATTTGCCTAACCACTCACATTAAGCTTACCTATAGCACCATCCACTTTCCTTTAAATGTGAAACTATATAAAAAGAGGTTTTAAGTCTAAATGATTTAGTCTGCAATAGTTCCTGCTGTTCACTAGCAAGAGAAGGAGTGAAGGTTTGCAAACAAACAGGCTGAAATACGAGGATCTTTAGTTCAGTTGAGTGAAGATTGTGTCAGGTGACATCTCCAGACAGATGTCACCTGACACACCACTTAAACACTATTCAAGCAGCGTGTTCTGCTGTTTGAATGCCATTCATGTTGCGTATTTAATTTCCCTTTGGGGTCAATAAAGTATTTTTGAGTTGAACTTGAACTTAGCGGTTGCTGCAGTGGAAAACGTATCAATGTCACATGTCTAAATCCCGAAACCCTGTTTGCTTTCCAACAGCTACATCATGGAAATAATGTGAATGAGAACAGATCCAAACTAAAGTACAGCTAGCTTGAGTAAAGAGAACAGGTGCAGATCATCAGGTCAGGGCCAGACTGCAAAAGTTACGTCAAGTCAACATGCTGACCAATTATATCATCATCTGTCTGTTATTAAAGGCTGCCTTTTAGAAGACTGTAAGCTTAGTTCAGACTATTTATGTGCTGAAATATGAACAAGAGTTATTTATTTATAACAGACTGGACTGGACTCACAGTTACGGTTGCATCAGTTTGCATCTCAATAAACCAGAGTCAAATATTATACCCCATATGGTCTACACACACACACACACACACACACACACACACACACACCGTTAACATTCCACTATTAGTTCCACAAACAAAATATTAAAGTGATAAACACATATGAAAAGTGAACTGTGACATACCGCTGAAGGTGCTTGTAAAGGGAAAGCTGGGGTCGTGTGGAACCTTTCCTCGTCCGCTCTCCACATTCACTGGGTTCGTGGTGAACACGTGCTGGGGAAGAAAAGGCACAGTTACAAATGTGTAAATTAAGTCCAGCAGGTGGGCCCCGAGGAGAACTCTATCAAGCTGATATTTATCACAGCTCCAGAAACGCATGAGAAATATAGATTTGCTTCACAAGAGTCAGATTACAGAGTTGAAATATTAACTGAATCATATATTCCTCACCAGCTCTTCCAAGTGGAAAATCCTTTTTTTTATTGACCATCTACAAACAAGGTCAGCCCGTTGCACCACCTGAAACTGATTATCTTGTGAAGCAAAAGTTCAGCAGGTACAAAGCAGACAAAACATATATTTATTTTTTATTTTTAAGACGTTACTGTAATTTTATTGCGGGGGAGGAGAGATTCTTCGTCATTGTCTCAACGTTCAGTTTCGTCCAACTGGGACGTTTTGCAGTTTCACACAGTTTTTCACGTTTACTCGTCCTTTCATCGAACTCTCGCCTGTCTGAGAACGAAGGGGCCGTCTGAGATAAGAGGAAATTTAGGATTAGCGGAGCTGCCAGAGTTCAGACAAATTTCCCACTCAGTTCCCAGTGCAGATCAGTCCTGGGAGACCTGGCTGCAGAGGAGCCAGCTGGGTAATAAAAGAAAATACTGCAATCAAATGAAATCTGCTGTTAAATTTTGAACTTTAGCAACAGTAACACATTTGTTGACAGTTGCAGATTTCATTGTTACGTTTTAACGCTGGTAAAATCTATTCCTGCAGACCGAAAAACAGACAATGAGGCAAAATCGTCAGTTTCTGCTATGCTATGCTGGCAAGGTAACTAATTAGTTTTTGTTTACAACAGAAAATATTCCATTGTCAATCATGTAGAGTAGTTTTCAACAAATATAGAATGTACATTTTGAAATAAAATATCTAAAGACACATTTTAAATCTGGCCTTTCAAAATGTGCACAAGGAAAATGAACTTCTTTAGGTGAGATCCTAAAATTGAGCAAATTGACAAAAACATTTTTCTTTTAGAAATAATAAAAGCAGTCCACCAAAAAGCGGATCAAATTACCACAGAGTCGTACAAAAACAGACCTTAACAGCTGGTAGTTTACCACTTGTTTCTTGTTACAACACGGGCCAAATAAGCATGAAGCTGACTACCTGTTCCGGAAAAGTATTTAAGAAACACAATTCGGCCCAGATCATAAAAAAAGGTTAATTGAGTCCACTTTACTTCACATACCAAATACATTAACCTTATATTTGGGTTAGGGTCATCACCAGAAGACATTAACGTGGTTCTGGACCAACAGAGATTGGCAGAAAAGGCAGATCTCACTTAAATTCATTGGTTTTACAGGCAAAAAGCAATTTTAAACCACAGACCATGCATTTTCACACGGATGTTGTGGTGTCCAAGCTTGAACAATCTGTTGATTTGTGTCAAGTTGAACAATTTGAAGGAACCCCGCCCTAATTATTTTCTGCCCACTTTGTGTGCGTCACCAGCTGTAGCATCAAAACATCCTCAGCACGATATTGTCACCACAATATTTGACAGTTGTGTCTTAGGTTTGAAGTTTATCTTGTCATTGTGGCCAATTAGCTCAATGTTTATATTGTCTGATCAGAAAAACTGTCTTTTCCACATGGGCAGCTACAAATGACAGTCATACTTGAAAGTCTGTGGAAAGGGCGATCTTTCTCTCTCTGTGGGAAATGTTTTTCAGTCACATGTGGGTTGTGACACTGGTGTTTCAGCACGAGAAGCTTGGCAGCAGCAGCATTTTGATCATTCCTGGATTTTTTCCAAGGAACAAGTTTTATTTCCTTTTACAGTTAAGTGAGATGTCTGAAACTTGGCTCCAGCTGGGCTTTCGAACAAGGAACTGATCCCAAACAAACATTAAAACTACTTTAAAAAAGGCCAACATTACGGAATAGCATAGATCTGAACTCTGTTGAACATTTATACACTTTTGCTAAAAGTAAAAACATAAATTAATAAACAATACAATGGTATTTTAGTATAGAGACTTTATTTCTTTTCATAAGTTAAAGAACTTTTAAGAGCTCTACCATTTCTACCAAGAAAAGTGGTGAAATAACTAGTGGTACTAATACCAGAAGCTTGTTATTCATTGATTTGCATGATCCATCAGTGCCTCCTTAAGCAATGCTTGGAAAATTTAGGCAGATGCTAGCAACAAAAGCTTAAGTTTATTAATAAAAGCAGAACAAAACAGAAAGACCTGGGGGAGTGTTGGCTGTTTGTGTTTTATTAATTTATCCTTTTGTTTTTATACATGGTTAAAACATTGTATCCTGGTATTCCAAATAAATTCAGATGCAACATTTTGCAAAAATGCTCCTTCCTGCATCCCGATGGCCCCACCTCACAGCAGCTAACAGATGCAAAACCTCAACAGGGTTTTTAATTTCAGAGCCGTAACTCATGCTGCCCACTGCGGTGAATTATGTGGCACAAAGCTCAGCAAATCAGCGCACGATGAAAGGGGCAGAAAGGGAAACCTCAATGAATGCATCCGCAACAGGGACAGGTGCAAAGTCCAGTGTGTTCGTGTCTGTCCGGCGTCACCTTCCCATTACACCTCATTAGGACCAACACTTACTCTTTATCCTGAACAGGATCTGTACTAGTCTTTGAGTGCAAATAAATCTGCCCACATCTTTTGTTCTGACTGCGGAAAAAAAAAAAAAAACTTAATAAAATGCTGAAGTGGTGAGGGGGGGGAGACGGGGTCTTTTTGACTTAACTCACTGGTGGTTCAAAGTGACTTAATGAACTCAGTCCACATCCTCAGACTGTGTGACTTTTTAGGTCAAGAAAGGGTCGCTTTGGATAAAAGCCCTTTTGTCTCCAGTCTTTCTTCCTCCACTTCAATGCCACCTGAGCACCAGGCCGTCTGTACCAGAAACGTCTCGGTGCGATCAAACGCAGCCTGCTTCCAGGAGAAAAGTAGGAATGGATGGTGACAGGAGCAACTATAAAACTCTGACTTTGATACAAACCCATGTGACAAATTAAAGTGCCCTGGCCGTGAACTCCGTTTCTGAGTCCATGTTCCTCTCATAAACAATAGAGCATTGTTGCACGGTGGGCGAGTCCTTCGCTGAGCAGGGATCACAGGGGAGATGATGACATTGAAGTCAGCTGCTTAAAAAAAAACCGCCTGTCAGAATCGGCGAACAATACGCGCAAAACCCATTTAGTTTTAGACGTGCAGCAACACACACACACACACACACCTACACACACACACACACACACACACACACACACACACGCATGCACACACACACACACACGCATGCACACGCATGCACACTCGTGCAGCACAGCAGTACGTGTTGAGGAACATGAACGAGTCAAAGTGGTCCGGCGCAGGAACATTTCCTGGCAGTCTCAGGATGTTTAACTTTTTTTTATTTTTATTTGAGACATGTATAGCTTTTTAAGTGCTCGTCAAGAGGTTTGAACGAGTTTTACAGGTAGTGAAGTGAATATGCAGAGCCCACAAGCACACACATCGCTGAAACACAAACTCACACTGATTAATCTCTGGACTTGCAGCGCCTTGCAGAAGCGTCCAGGTCCAGACCTAAATCCACGTACGAATCTGAGCTCCAAAATTGCTAGTAAAGCAGGATGATTTAAAGCCGTTTTGCAACGAAAGCAGGTTCTGCAAAAATATTAGCTCAGGAAGACTGAATGCAAATTTTCACCACACTTTTTAGATTTTTATTGGAAGAACATTTGAAAACCATTAAACTTTTCATTTCACAATTATGCGTTACTTCTTTAGTCTTTTAAATAAAATCCACACAAAATGCATTATTAGTGAAAAAAAAAATCAAGAAAAGGTTTGTATTTTGTCATCATAATCTTATTAGTAATTCTGGTTCTTTATTGAGGATTCAAATATTTTTTTTAATTATTATTATGGAAAAAATATCTCGTCTTCCCATCTGGTTTTCTCCTTGTAAGCGTGTACAAGTGCACGTGTGTGTGTGTTGGCTGTGTCTTGCTCTTTTGTATGTTTTTACACTGCTCATTAGCTCATCCCAGATGAGCAAGAGTCAAGTTTTCTAAGCGTCGCTGCGTGTGAATGTCTGTGTCTGAACGTGTTTTCTCGTCATGTTCCATGGGAATCGAGCGGCTCATTAGTGTGTCAGAGTCACTCGGGCCACACTCTGTCAAAACAAATACACACAAGTTCTGTGATACAGAGAAGGAAACATTCAGAGCTCTTTATACTTGGTTCTGCCAAGCATAATACAACACAATACTGCAGAACCCCACAGTAAAACTGAGAAAAGTCACAGCAGACAGTAAATGGTAAATGGACTGAACTTATATCGTGCTTTGCCACTCATAATCCAGAAAGCTGCATTAGTTTCATTTTAAGTAAAACCTCTGTTTTGCTCCTCATTCCCTAATCTCTACCTTACAAAATATCTTCTAGCCATCCAAATCTAACACTTTTTAGTTACGTTAACTCTCTGCTAAAGTCAAATTCAGACGCCGCTCTCCACTCTGCTGATCCGTCGATTCATGTCTGTCCATTAAGGTCCACCAGGACTCTGTTCACACATGTGCATGCAGCCCAGATGTTTGAGTGCTAAAAGAGAGAAAACCTCCCAGGAGAAGTTTGACTATCGCAATCTGCTGGACTTTGAATTCAGCTCAGTGAATCCTGGTTTGTTGTGCAGCCATTTATGCTAATTCTGATGCTAAGTTCTGCTGATTTTCTCTCTTTCCAGGTTTACCCTCTCCATTCATTCCCTCTCTGCTTTACTCCCTTAGTCCCCCACAGCAGCTTCTCATCTGTTCATTTACTCAACTTTGTGCCACTACAAAGTCCCCTGGGTTAAATTACTCCAGAGTCAGATCATCTTTTGTTCTTGCTTCGACTGGCCTATGAAGACTCAACCACTACAGACCTGAACCCAATATGGCCCATCTGAACAAGTCTCTATGTGCACCGAAAAGATGTGGCGTTCCACTTCTGCTCAGT